GGGAAGAAAGGGAGGTGTAACATGTAGAAAGGCTCTGCTATGGGGAAGAAGTTGCAGATTCAAGAATTTGAAGACCAGTGTAGCAGAGCCCGACCTGTGAGATGAACAAAAGAGAGAATTATGCAAAATGAGGTACTAGCAGGGCAGAGGTGATCATTAAAGGCCTATAGTTCTTGTTAGAGACCTCGGGTTATGTTGGAAGTTCATTAAAGATTTTTTGGCAGAGGAATAATGTGATCCATTTGGAGTTCAAAAGAAAAATATTCTTGGGTTCTGAAAATTGCTGGGTATAAAAGAGATGAAGCAGGGAGGTCAGTTAGGAAATCATCCATAGTGGTTAAGGTGAAAGATGATGGTTGCTTCAATCTGGTAATGATGGGGATTTAGAGAAAAGTGGACGACTTTGAAATCTGTAGAATAAACAGAGCTTTGGGATGCATTGGAGATACAGAATAAGAAAGGGTGAAGTGCTGAGGAGGACCTACAACCTTTCTTTGTCAGCATCTGAAGGAATGACAGAGATGCTGGGATGGCATTGAGGTGGAGGTAGAGACAGGAGCAGTTGTGATTGTCCTAAATTTGAGGTGACTCTGAAAGGGAAACAGTTGCAGATGATGCCACATGAAGTAGGGTTTGATAGCGCGTCAAGCGTGCAAAGAGACAGGGGAGAGAGACCCTTTGTGGGTGAGTATATCATAGACTGTTCATATAATAAAAGTTACTGTTTAATCCTCAAATGGAGGTTTGTTGAAATTACTATGTTAGGAGGGAATTATTAATTTTGTCTTTTAAAAAGGTGAACATTAGAAAGGTTAAAGAAATGTAGAGATTTGATATCTAATTCATATGATAACCTTTAACATGTTTCATGGGAGAACGAATGGCTTTAAGTTTATAACTTTGCTATAAACTTTGTTTTAAAGAATATGATTGCTTGACACTTCAAATTTTCTAAATGTCATTTCTAGAGAACAGTTTAGTTTTGTAAAAAGGAGATATTTAAAAACATCACAGGAGTGTTTTAGATTGTGTAGGTTATCTAAATGTTATTTTGAAACACATATTTTTATCTTCTCTCCTTTATCTTGATGTTTGTGATTTCAAAAAGTAAAATTAAAATGTCTAGGTCTAGCAGCTAATTTATTTTCACTACAAAGATGCATCTAGAAGTCAAGTAAGGGTAAAACCGATCACTACTCGGAAAAACTCAGCCCCGTAAGTGCTCTTCCTTCCTGACCTGCTCGTGGTCGGCATAAATAGTTCATTACTCAGGCTGTGTGCACAGGGCTTCGTTCTTTTAACTCATCCTTATTTGCTGTGTTTACTCATGTAATTCTTCCTCCTTTCATTCATAGGCACTTGATAGCCATAATGATAAAAGCAGAGAATTAGTGTTAACATTCTCATGCATAGTGAATAATTTTCTAAAATCCAGGTTCTAATTCTGCCCCTGGATGGCCTCTTAGAGCTCAGAATTCTCATTATATGTAAGGAATTTAAACATTTGATAAGAGCAATGAAATGATGTTTATTTCTGAATTTTCACTGTTTAACATTTTTTTTTGGGGGGGGGGAGGTCCAGCTTAATGCCTAAGTCTAAAAATCATTTACAAAGTAAATACTGTCTAAAAACAATAAAATGTCATTTCTAAAGTAATCTTTAGCCATTGAAGGATGAGTCTAACTTTCTTAAAAACAAAAAGAGAAAATAATCGGTACATTTTTCGAATTAATAAGATTGTGTAACAATGGCCACGTGACTAAGGTTCCAAATGCTTTTCTAAATTAAAGAGTTACTTGAGAGTATAAGCCTTAGGATTTCATGGGAAGATGCGCATTTATTTTCTAACTAAACTTAGAAGTTGGAAATTAAAGCATAAAATGCTATTTCCCTGGCCAAGCATTGAAAAAATGTAGAAGAGATAACATCCTTTTATAGATAAAAACTGCTAAAAGCTAATTAGCACTGCAAAGGGCAATGGTAGCTGGTGATAATTTACTCTAGTAAGGTAAAGGCCAGGAGAACAGCAAGGCCACCGCAATCATTTTATATTAGATTAATATCCTTATATCTAAAACTGAATGTTGTACAGCCATTTTTGAGCATTCAGTTGTGTATATCACAACTTAGCTATCTGAGAGCTAAACACTTAGCTATCCGAGATCTTCTGACAGTCAAGCTCTCTGGAGTTGGTCAAGGGAAAACACTTTTAATAGAAGTTTATAGAAGTTGAAATAGTGTAGAAACAGGCAAATGAAAAATGTGACTACATATATTTCTTTTTAGGCAATTTTTAGCCTCACATATCTGTATGAAATTAGATTGTATAGTCATGTAGAATAGCATTGTCCAAAAACCCAAAAATAATGTGAAGTGCGTATGAAATTTTCTAATAGCCATATTAAATAGTTAAAGAAATAGGTGAATTAATTTTAGTGATGTATTTTATTTAATCCTATATTCAAAATATTGTTTGAAAATGAAATGGTTGTAATAATTACTGTGTTGTTTTTGTACTAAGTACTTTAAAAACAATGTTTTACACTTAGAACAAACTTTTTTAATGAGCTACATTTAAAATACTTGTATGTCTAAGGCTCTGTTGTTGCACAGCATAGTTGTAGAACAAGTATTTCCTTTTTCCTATTTCTGCACATTCACTGGGAGCTCAGGAGTTATCACTGACTGACTAATTTTGGAAGTGAAGGCTGCGTTTTTATGATTTGTTTAGGAAGGGCTGGTGGCCATGTGATGAATAATCCTGTATAGTCAAGCAACAGTTACACAGCAAAGGACTTAGTGTAATAAAGGCTAAGAATGGTTTGACATTTCTCCATTCCCCATCCTTTGTGAGCATGTGTGTTCCGACTGTCCTGAGATTACTGTGTCCTTGATTAATGCAGAACTGAATTGTCTCAATTTCATTTTTATAAAAAGTACACTTTGAGGAATTTTCTTTTGTGAAGATATAAGCATGATCTTTTTATTAGTTATTAATTTTTAAAATTTTTTTAAAAAACCAAATCCTTCCCTGTATATAATGCTTTAGAAGACCAGAATCATATTCTTTCAGTCGTAATCCATTTGAGGGGCTGTAATTAAATACGTGCATTGATATTCATTTCCATCAGTTCTTTTTAAAGTCATTCGAAACTTAAAAAAAATTACAAATTTCAGAATAAAAGGCATTCATTCAGAAGGGTTTTTATTTATTTATTATTATTTGAATATGTGGGTTACCTAAAAAATGTGCATTTATTTCAATAATAAAAACTCCCTCTTAAATGAATCCTGGTTTATACACTTTGTGGGCTAAATGAATTAGGCTCTAAACTTTTATCTGAATCTATGGAGCTTGGATATAAATTGAAAAGATCACAGCTATGGGGAGAAGACCTATACTGCAAAGGCCTTTCTGCATAGATTATGAACATCATAACTCAATAATTTTTTCAAAACTATGGTTATAATTGGACCCAATGGGGGTCTGTTTCTTTGATCAGATCACAGTAACTGTGACTTTACACTGGAAAATGTCACTAGTGTGAAGGTTTATCACCTGTAGAGCTGGTCTTTCCTCTGATGCTGTGTTCATTTCTCATTAGCATTATTCAAAGTTTAGTTGTTAATTAGGTTGACACTTCAATTACAATCATCATCTACAAAAGTAGTCAGGATTACTTGCATAAAGAAATAAAATTATTCCTTCTTGCATATATATGGAAAAATGACATTATCTTGTTAATATGATAGTTTCATAAGGATGAGAATGTGCTCCGTTAAGGGAGGAATCCAACCCGAATTGTTTCATCACTTTCTTTTTCTTTAAATAAAGAATTATTACTCAACTTCACATGTTTTCATTTTAAACACCAATGAGGAATGAATACATGTGTGAGAATCAGTATCTTTTAAATGTACAGACTATAGTTTTCTATGTTGTTTGAAAGGAATTGAGGAAGTAAATTGAATGTGTAGGAACATTTTATATCTCTTTAAAAAGAGCTTGCATCAAGAGTATGATCTCACTTAAAAATCTAAGGGCTATTCATAAATAATATGCATTCTCTAAAAGATATAGCACTTGAATTTAAAAGATAGAAAATGTATGAAACTTAATAACAAATTTAGGATCTTCTGAATTATGTAAATTCCTAGATAAGTTTTTCTTTGATTTGAAAACATTAGTATTTTAATCTGATTACTGGTTCAGGAGGCAATGACACTGAACTCAAACCCAGCATGTAGCAGTGGAAAAAAATGGACAGAACTGGCTTTAAATAACAGCGTTGTCACTTGTTAGCTACATAGTAAGGGCAGTTTAATTCACATCTTTGTGCACTGTTTTTTTCATTCATAAATGGAAATATGAATGTTTTTTAAAAAAATGTAAAAATTAAATGAGACAGTGTACAGTGTATAACATTTGCATACAATTCTCCACTCGTCTTATGATCTCAATAACTTTATCTCCTCTCCCTCCTTTTTACCTAATAATGACAAAAACTATTCAACAAATGACTGGAAAATTACATATGCAAATGAGGCTTCCAAAAATAAAATTAAATGGTAAGTGATCCTGAAGGACCCATAACAAATAACCTTACATAGCAAAAATGAATGACACCCAGCCAGCTTCATCTCAAAACAAGCAGACACATGTTGTAATTGCTAAGAATCTGCAGAAAAGTGGCTCACAAGCAGTTTACTGTAAAATAATTAAAGCTTATTTATGTCAAGAGGCCTTGAGAAAAAAAAAAAAGAGAGAGAGAGAGAGAGAGCATAAACCAATTTGCATTAGCACTTTACTATCCTCTCCTGCTTTCCTTTCAATTAACAGACCAGCAGGTGCTCTCTGCAGTTAAAAAGATAAGCTATCAGGGAGGAGGATGAATTTTTGGCTGACCTGCAGACACTGTGGTTTGCCTGCTGATTGGGTTCGTACCTCGCTGTACCAATTTCTGAGGTGTTAATTTAACTATTCCTCTCTGTCATGCAGGTCTCGGCCTTGAAAAATAAACTGAAGAAGCAGTCCACAGCTACCGGGGATGGAGTAGCTAGGGCCTTTCTGAGGGCACAGGCTGCTTTGTTTGGATCCTACAGAGATGCACTGAGATACAAACCTGTAAGCTTTTTATTTCATCACTATTTTAATTTTCTTTTCTTTTCTTTCCTTTTTTTTTTTTCCTGTGATTCTTTGGAATGAGGCAGATAAAAGAGACATCATTTTAATACCAAACCTTAAACAAGTATCGCGGTGGTCTTTTAAAATCCAAAACAATATGCTTTCAAGAACTTACTCGTCCCTGGTCTCTTGACTTTTGCTTTTAGTTCTCTTAATAATCTTGAGTTTTTATTTCCCACATTCTTTTGCCTATCTTTTTATCAATTTTCTAGATGTGGAATATTTATCTCTTAACTAATGAATGGTGTTAATGTATTTAAAAACACTTTCTCAATCTTGACATCATTAAGAAATTCACTGGACATTTGGATTTATTTAGTAGAATTAGGAATGACAAGTACAAAATCAAAGTAAAAAAATTACACCTTGAACATTTTGCAATATTGAGAAATTTTTTGGCATTCTAATTCAGAACACTTTTCTAAGTAGGCTTATCTATTAAGCATATGTCAGTCATTTTTCCTTTTTTTCTGTTTTTTGGTTGTAATAAATTTAAAATGGTTATTGTGTAGAATTATAGCCAAGTTTTTCAGTCATCCAAAAAGTGTAAGTTAGAATGTGATTCTCTCTGTGAACTGTTGGTTAACACATAGTAGGCTGATTTTATAAAAAGTATTACACTATTTATTCTTCCATGACCAGGTAAATAAATTGTAAGAGATAAAAACATTGAATTTGTTATACGAAGAACTGCTGTCTAACTGGAATTCTTCTACTAAGCAGTGGAACTTTGACCCACTCACTTCCTTTGTCTTGCTAAACTTTGATTTTTTATTTGTAAAATAGGGCATAAGTATTCTTACACTTTCCCTGTCTTTCAGAGTTGGTGTGTAAACCCTGCTGTAAATTTTGAAACATTAAATAAACATGAATGGGTTATATCTTTTCTAAATTGATTTCCGAATTAGTGATTTTCACTCAGTAATTCTTAAACCTCTGAAGGATTATTGATTTATTATTGATTTATTAGAAGGAATCCTTGAATGCATACATGAGATGAGCTGCTGTTTCTAGATATGTGCATACGTCTAGTTGACACATGAGTCTTTTTGAACTATGAGTGTATTTTTAAAGCATTATAGAATTCATTAAACCGTACACAGTATACATATCTCACATAGGAGGGGAGTCTTCAAATATTGATAGTTGCAAGGGTCTCATTCTTTAAATGACTAGAAGCCAGTAGATCATATTCATATTCAGATTATTCAATATCAATTAAAACATAAAAATTAGTTTGGAAAACAAAATCAGTGATTTTTGGTTAAGTCAGATTTTAAAAATAAGGATTGATTTCAAGTTGGCAGTACAGGAGGGAAAGTTTAAAAGTATCACTTTGCTTGAATTTTGACATATTTAGATATTTATTCATCTTTATAAGCTATTTTTTTTTTCATTTTCCCTTAAAAACTTGTGAAAGACTTCAAATGTGAAGAAAGGAACAATTAAACAGAAATTTACTTAAATGATATATAATTATCAATGTGTTAGGTACTGGGTGAAATTATTAAAATATCCCATCTTTTAGCATTAGTTACTATAGAGTTTATAATTTTATTTCCTCTCTCTTTGCCTTCATTGAGTAACTGGGGTAGCAGATTTCAATGACTTTAACTTAAAAAAAAAAAAAAAACTTCTTGAAATCCAGATTCCCAGTATTGTGAAAAATATATAATTTTGTCCTAAAGACTCTTTCCTGTTTATTGATTATAACTTATTGTAAATTTATATACTTATTTATCTACATTTTTCTTTTTATATTTGATGTTTTCTTTTTTATTTCTACAGCTAGTTCTAGGGACTAGAGAAAGTATTTCCCTTTGTATGCTTTTATATATCTTCTGACTGAATCTTTTTTTTTTT